CATTGCATGCCCTGTTGGCTGAGATGGCTGAGATAGGTGGGAAGGGTGGCATTTCAGTTTTTCCGGGTTACAGTGCCCCGGGAGTGCAGCTTGCTGTGAGCTCTGCGCGTCCTGCCATCTACCTGCCAGCTCATTAGTTCTCACGTTGCTGTCAGCAGTTTTGACAGGCGCTATCTCGGGGAGACCTATGATCAGTCCTGAAAATGATAGCCAGGCCATACGGGTCTCAAGGGAGACTGGATATGCAGGGCCAGCACAGGGAGCGGGGAGAGGGGTGTGCAGCAGGGTTTTAGACAAGGCCCAGCATGGCCAGGGTGGCCCATGGGCATACATCATTCTAGGCTTCTCCTCAGGCTCTCAGGGGCCACAGGTTAAAAGCAGGGAGGAGCCAGGCAGTGGTGGCGCACACCTTTAATCCCTGCACTCTGGAGGCAGAGGCAGGTGGATTTCTGTGAGTTCGAGGCCAACCTGGTCTACAGAGCGAGTTCCAGGACAGACTCCAAACCTACAGAGAAACCTGTCTCGAACCCCCCCACCCACCCCCCCCAAAAAAAAAAGAAAAAGAAAAAACCAGGCTGAAAGGAGCTGCAATGGAGGGGGCCACTGAGAGCAGGGGCTCAGCCCAGTGAGGACACTCCAGTGTTGTGGGGAGAGGACAGTGTCCCAGCTGAGCCTCCCTCACGCTTCAGCGGGCCTTACAGGAGTGGAAGGACCCAGTTTATTCAGTTTGGGTACTCTGATTACCTGTTTATTCATACTCCACTGGGGCCCCAGCCATGGCCACTGGGGCCCCAGCCATGGCCTCCCGCCAGAACTCCCAGCCGTCTCTATCCCTAAATATTCATTCCTTCTGGGCTTTAGTGTCCCCGTGTCTGTTGTACCACAGGCCCCTCTCCTGGTCCTTTCCCATCTCTACCTCTGTGGAACCATATGCTCTCTGCCTGGCTTCTCAGCTCCTTCGTCTCCACCTTGAGTCTCTGGCCAGCTGGGCCTGAAGCAATGGTTCTCACTGGCTACTACGGCCAACATCTCCCTAATCTGCTCTTTGTGGGGACATGGTCATGGTGCCTGCCTTGTTCCCAGCTTCCAAGTGGCCCTGCAGCCCATTCCCAAGTCCACACAGGGCAGGGCTACCATTCCTTCTCACTGTCTGGTAGGTTCCTGTTCAGCTTACCTCATGGTTGGTTACAATCCTTCAACACTCTAACCTGCACCCCAGTTCCTTCTCTTTGTATGTTTGTGACACCTGACCTCTCCTGCTTCCCAAACTCTGCACCCGCATGTGCCGTCCCCTCTGAATAACTGTATTCTCTCCCACTGGGCTGGCCACCCGTGTGCATTCCTTGTCCCTTGCCCAGAGGCCATCAACTCCCTGAGGCCTTTAGTCTGGGATGGGATGGACACCCTACCCTATGCCTTTGCTGTGCAGAGCAGGACAGGAGCAACCCGGAGGATGCAGAGAAGTGTAGGTCCCTCCAGCGGGGTGAAGGCTGTAGAGACGGGGTGTAGGCTGTAGAGACGGGGCGAAGGCTGTAGAGACGGGCTGAAGGCTGTAGAGACGGGGTGAAGGCTGTAGAGATGGGGTGTAGGCTGTAGAGATGGGGTGTAGGCTGTAGAGACGGGGTGAAGGCTATAGAGACGGGGTGAAGGCTGTAGAGATGGGGTGTAGGCTGTAGAGACGGGGTGAAGGCTGTAGAGATGGGGTGTAGGCTGTAGAGATGGGGTGAAGGCTGTAGAGATGGGTAGGCGCATGAGCTGTAGGAGCCTGAGGCTGCATCTGCTCCTCACTGTTTTCTAAGAACAGACTGTGGGGTATTGCTCATTTGAAGAGCCAGGCTCTGAGGGGACAGGGGGCACATGGGCACAGCAGCGTACAGTGTGTGGGCCGCACTGCATTTGGAGCTTCAGATTCTGAGCCAGGGAAGCTCAGAGCTGAGCAGGGGATGTGAGATGAAGCCAGGGAGGAGGCAGGGAGTGGGATGGGCCAGGGACAGCTGAACTGGCCAGGAGGGATGAGGATGGTGATAGGGTGTGGCCTGCGACACATAGAAGGGGGGTTACCAGAATGGGGACTGGGTAGTTGAGGAGCATGTTTGCATACCAGTGTGTGGTATGCTCCTTTAGCCATGAGAGCTCTGCACTACAGTCTTGGCCGGTGAAGACAGGAGACCCAACTGTTTCATGCATGGTGGTCCTTAGCACAGATTCCTGCCTCTATGGCAACAGACTCCAAGGTAGGAATAGACTCCTTGATGTGTGTGCTCTTAGGAAGTCCATCCACACAGCCATGTTGTGAGGCCCCCAGCTGTGTCCATTCAGGCTGAATTCTTGGGACAGGTTGGTATAGCAGCTCCGTCCTTACACTGTCTGTCATGTGTACTGACTTCCTTGGTCCTTGCAGCACCAACCTTGTAGTCAGACAGTGCTCTCGGGACCACTCTCAGTCAAGGGCTTGAAGCTGGTCGGGGATGGCAGAGACCACACAAATGCACAGGATTATCTTGAGCTATTCCATCCTGGCTAATGTGGGAGAGGGCTGGGAGAGTGGAGGGTCCAGGCTGTACCCAGTGTTCTGATTGTATCACAACACCCCAGTCTCTCTGTACTGGGTTACTATAAAGCAAATCTTAGACATGTCATCTGGGCTCTGGAAGAACATTTGACAAGGATGTACTGGGATTGAAATTTTCTAGGCTAGAACTCATGTTTAAAATCTTTGCACAAACCCTTTAACATGTTGCCAGATAGCAAAACCATGGGCCACTGGCAGCAGGGTGCATTTTGGCCTCAGCCCCAACCCAGGCTCCAGGGCACTCTGGTTTTGAGGAAACCCTGCACCTGTGTCTCTAAGCCTGCGTCCCCACAGGTGTTTGGGCAGCGTAGAAGCGCGCAGGCGCTGGAGCTGGCGCACATGCTGTACTACCGCAGCACATCCAACAACTCGGAGCTGCTCAGTGCCCTGGCGCTCCGTGCACAGGAGGAGCACATCAAGGAGGCCCTGCTGGCTCACAGCTTTTTAGCCCGATGCCCAGGGGGTGCCCAAGGCCTCCCTGAAGGTAAGTCCTCCCCGATGCCTAGGTCCTCCTGCCATTGCTAGGCCTCCCTATTATCTCCCAGACCATCCCTGCTGTCCCCTATGCCAACCCTTTGGTCCCCAACTCCTCCTTACTGTCCCTCAAGCCCTCCTTTCTGTCCCTAGGCTCTCCCTGCTACCCCTGGGTCCTCCCTGCTGCTCCAAGGTTCTCCTTAATGTCTCCTATGCCAGTGCTGCTGTCCCCCAGGCCCTCCCTGCTGTCCCCAGGTCCACCCTGCTGTTTGTCCCCCATGCCAGCCATGTTTTCCCTGGACCCTCCATGTTGTCCTTCAGGCCCAGGTCTTGTCTAGCTCCAGCTTGAACACAGTCTTCCCCACAGAGACCTCCAAGTGGCTACAGTCTGAAGTGGAGAGCTGGCTTCTATCTCAGTCCGGCTGTGATGTGGCCTTCAATGGATCTCGGGCCCTAGCCCACCTACAAGCCCTGACTCCCAGCTTGGGCTTGTTCCCACCACCTGAGTTGCCACAACTTGACCCACTGGTCCTAGGCACTCCAGAGGCCCCGCAGGCTGCTGCGCCCGGTGGTAGCTACCCCTCATCCTGACCACTTATTACCAGGTCCAGCACTGAGGGTGCCGAGCTCCGCCTCCTCCATAGCAAGGTGTATCTCCTGCCCGGACTCTTGGTTGTCGACAAGGTCATTATTTCTGCTAGGCCATTAGTTTTGCTATGCTATGCACTTAAAGAGTAGTCAGTCCGGGCTGCTGGCAGTTGCTAAGCAGCCTCCTGAGGCCAACCAATCAAAGTCGTGTATCTCAGCTTATATTTTATTTCTCGACCCCGCCCTTGACGGGAACCTCACCAAGGCCGGGTGGAGGGGGCGGGGTTTGGGGAGGTTTGACGCAGCTGCTGGATTGCAGCTGCTAGAGTTGGCCGCTGTGAGACCGCCAGGCTGTGAAAGCTGTGCCTGGAGGCCCTGCTTCATCTTCCGTTTAGCCTGCACAGGAACTGGCTGCCACACGCACCTGGGCGGGGCTCACTGCAACCCGCAAGCCGTTTGGTCCTGGCACATCGAGGGTGCGTACTTTGGGCACCTCAACCACGGGCAGCCAATCAGAATTCCTGGAGGAATTCTGCAAATCCGTGTGAATGAGCCATCTGTTCTGCAGCTGATCCGTCCTGGTTGAAGGCAATGGGAACTGCCAGGCCCAAAGAAGACGGTGGGCCTGCAGCATTCCGCCCCAAGATCACTCCAGCTCAGGCCCTTGGTGCAGAAACTGCTTTAATATGGGTCTCCCTACTGTGCAATATTTATCACTTTACCTTCTTCCAAAGGAATAAATAATGTTTAATAAATCTGGTCGGTGTGGCTGCAGGTGAATGGGGGTGGTCAGAATCCTGGAAAAGAGGGTGTGGCGGGGTCCCAAATGGGAGGCTCAGAAGGTACTGATGCCGGAGGAAAGCTTTGATTGCAAGAGTCTGGATCTCAAGAAGACCCGGCGCAGCAGTGCAGACTGTTCACAGTGGGAGACAGCCAAAAGCAGGTGAAATCCTGTGAGGCCCAGCCGTACCCACTGAGTAGACGGGGTGTTACATTGACTGTAGAGTGGCCTGTGTGGGTGTAGGAAGAGTTGGGTTCTGGGAGGAAGGGGAGAACAGTCTGTAGTAGGAGACAACTCTTTCAGTGGTTGGGGCAGAGACAAGATGTGGAAGAGATCACCAGCCCAGAAGTGCGAGGCAGCCTAGGTCCCTGAGAGAGAGGCCACACAACTGGAGCGGGGAGAGGGCTCTGAGACAATTCTAATGAGGTCTTCAGGGAGGGACGGGGTCATCCTGATCTTACCTAGGTCAACTGCCCTCTGGAAGCTGGCTCCAGCTGGCATCCCAGACAGAGACCTGGGAGTTGAGCTCTGACTGAGACTGGAGAGGGTGGCTGCTGTTAGGGAGGGAGGGAGCCGAGCTAGGGCTGTGGTTAAACAGATTTTATTCTCTAGGCACACAGCATTCATTCACGTTTCCGCAGGTGGATGTAGATGATACCGCTGACCAGGGCGAGGGGGAAAGCCACCCAGGCCAGGGCGAAGCAGTAGCCGAAGCTGCCCCCGCGCGGGTACTTTTCCAGGATTTCCTCAGGATGGATGGCGTAGATCAGTGCCCCAGCGAACACGGCTGCACCTGGGGAACGGGGGCAGCAGTGTGAGGCTGGGTGTGCAGGGCGGCTGCACTGCCCTGGACCCTCTGCAGTACGCCAGACCTCCACAGGCATCCAGCTGCTGCAGCGTGGCTTTGGGTCCCCAAATGCCCATCTGTGAAATGGGCCATGGCAACCATCCATCCATGGAATTCTTCTTGAGTTTTTCCATGAACCAAACATACAAACATGAGTAAGTAACATGGGTGGAGTTTCCCAGGGAACCCAGGAAGATGTGTTCAAAACTACCATGATTAACTCAGCCCTTTGCACCTAGAGCCAAAAAATTAAAAAAAAAAAGAGCTGTGTGTTCAAATCTCAGTGACCTCTTCTTCATCCCCTGAACCCTTCAAGCCTTAAATTATTTGACCTTAAAAAAAATGTGTGTGTATGTATGAATGTGGAAAGGGGGCTGAAGAGATGGCTCAGCGGTTAAGAGCACTGACTGCTCTTCCAGATATTCTGAGTTCAATTCCCAGCAACCATATGGAGACTCACAACCATGTGTAATGAGATCTGATGCCCTCTTCTGGTCTGCAGGCAAACATGCAGCCAGAGCATGTATACATAATAAAGAAATAAATCTTTAAAAAAAAGTGGAACTTGACTTGATGGCCCACACCTACACTCTCAGCTACTCAGGAGGAGGTGAGGATGGAAAACTCAAGTCCAGCCAGAACGATTTAGTGAGCTCCTTTTCCAAATAGAAAGAGGGTTGAGAGTACATGGCTAGAATGCACCAGTGTGGAGCTTGTCTGGCATGTCAGAGGCCTTTGTTACATTCCCAATATTGAATGAAGAGAAAAAGTGAACTCCCTGAACTGGTATACAAGAAACAGCAGTTGGCTGGTAGGATTCAGAGCTTTCCTTCTGTGGTATCTCTTCGCTGCCTCCATTCCTGGAACCCACATCATCTACCAAAACCTACTTCTCAAGTGCTGGCTCACTAAAGTCCCAAGGCCCCCCACAGCATCTCTGAGAACTACAACTCCTTGCCCCTGGGGTCACCGAGGCTGTCCTTGGGGGAGGGCCTGGCGAGGTGGACTCCCATCCCCTGATCTCGGGGAAGTGCTTACTGGTGCAGAGCTGGCAGAGGCCAGTGGCGTAGAAGAGCCCTCCTCTCCGCATGGTGTAGAGCTGGAACATGAAGAGCATGAAGGACAGGCAGCAGAGGATGAGAGAGAGCACCATGAGCACCTGCACTGCCTTCAGCCAGCCTGCAGGGGGAGACACAGTGCGGTCACAGCTTCAGGCGTATACGTATTACAGGGATCACAGACCACGCAAACCCTCCCTGATGAGCTCCATCCCCACCCTCACCTGCCACCC